CAGATGATTCTGTCCTTTTGTTTCTAGTAGTAGTTTTAAAGAATTGCTGTGGAATCCAGGCTATCTGACTTGATGGGAAAGCTAATACTATTTCACTTCAAAGGGTTTGCTTTCATGTGTGCCAGATGCTGACTTCCATAGGTGGCATTTTTGTCAGTTCTCCAATTTTACCTTTACTCTGCTTTCTCTCAAAAATTACACCGTAAGGACCCTGACGCTACGATAATGGTAATGTCCAGTCATAATTTATCACATAATTTCTCCTATAGTTCTGCTTTCTGAGTTAAGGGCCTGGGATCCATCACATACCTTTTGGAATGGTTGTCATCCCAAAGGGGCTCTGAAGTAGTTCATCTCTAGCCTGAGTTCTCCTGACTGCTGGGCACATTTGGACACGGTGGCTGGAACTTAGACCTGAATGTTCATCAGAGTTGCATCCTTTTCTGTTTCTGGCCACATGATCCTCTTAATCCATCTGATTATAATGCTAAGTACAATTGAAAAGTAGAGTGAAACTGTCCTTACTTTGAGAAAGAAGCCCATTTGTTAGAGAGCGTGGTGCTTTGCTTGAATGAGCCTTTGAGAAATCTGAAATGACAAGCCACCTGAGCGAGGGTGAAAGTTTAAACAGTCACTTTTCAACCTGACTGCAGCTGTATTTTGGCGCTCTGTTTTTTCCCTGTATTCTCAGACACAGGATGGAGGTCGGTGAAGAATGGTTTGGATGTCTGAAGCTTAGTATTGTATGCTCGTTCAATCAGTTTTACATCATTTCTGGGATTTTTTTGATGATTCCTAAGGAAGAGTTGGAATTACTACCCCTTCTTTTCTTAGGAATGAATAAACCTCTGGAAAAAAAAAAGACCTAATTCTTCAGGGATGAGTCTTAATACCTTTAAACTGGTGTTCATTCTCTTTTTCTCTTCCTCCCCCACCTCAATTACGAGCAATTGGGTGGTAGTAATTAACAATCTTAGAGAGAAACATCTGCTAGTACACTTAAGCCAGTCAGTTTGTTTTTCATGAAAGAATGGTATTTCACAATTTTTCCAAGTTAATATTTTTCCTTTATTGTCTTTCCAATTTCAAATATTGTCCAGACGCATTTTTATAGTGTCTTAAGGTTATAGAAGTGAATACAAGGCCATTAATAATGAACAAGAAAAAAAGAACATCATAAAGAAAACATATGCAGTATTTCAATTCATGAAACATTCTGTAGGGAACATTGTTTTTGAGAGCATATGGTTATTCCCATGAGAAGCAATAAATATGCTTTCTTTTATTTTTTTCCCCTCCAGTTGTGGATTCCCACAAGAAGGGTAGGTTTCTCTGGGTACTTGTCTCTGTAGCGCGTTCTCTTTGTCAGGACTTGTTATCTGAGCGGGGAGGTAAGTGAGTATTCCTGCACAGATGATATATTGTACGTGGACCTATTTCTGATGGCCTGGACTTTGGAAACACAAGTCTATTAATTCCTTTGAGATAGCTATCTTGTCTGCTCTGCTTTAATATCATTGGCAGAGCTGAAAGGAAGTTCACATTGTGAATCTCTCTGAGCCTTGGCATGCGGCTCACGGGTGGATCTCTGTTTACAGGCTGCCAGTTTTAACTGTCCCGAGCAGACATTCTCATCTTATTTATAAGTAGGTTCAGCATGTGTTTGTATCCTTCATGAAATGGAGCCCGTGTCAATAGTCAAAACTAAGTATAGAAACAAGATACCACACGCTTGTACTTCTCTTCTCAGACAAAACAGTCGTACTCCAGCATGTATTTTTAAATGTTCATTGGGTTTGGGTAAGGCACATGAGGATATATGCACAGACACATTATTTGATCACTCGTAAATATTTTTTTAATACCTCCACATTCCCCTTTAAAGTTTCCTCATTTAGATTTCATTTTTCTTTGCTGAATGAAACTTGACATCAGGATGAGATCACCAGATTTCCCCATTTCATCTGAGCTCCAAAATGAGTAACTGATTTCAAAGGATAATTCCCCAGAGCAGCAAGGCCAATGAGTTCTTCAGATCAAAGGTCAGCGAAGCTCAAAGAGGATAATTTCTGGCATACAGTATTTAAACTCTCTCAAGGAGTGTACTGCAAGATGTATCCCCTCCTTCCCCAATAGTTGAACTCTTGTTTTTTGAGAAGACTAATTTGTCAGAGCACATTTTTTCCTCTGTTACATAAATTATACATTAAAGTGAAAGCTTCCTATCTGAACACACAAACTCTACATCCAGAAAGGTTATTAAACGTGCCACTGGAAGGGCTGTTCCTGAAACCAGAAGGTGACCCCCTGCCGTTCCTCTCTGCCACCCTGTGGGCTGGGGAGCCCTGGTGCTCCATTCCACGTGCCGGCAGCTTGCAGCACAGCGCAGGAGCGTGGTGATGGAAGGGAGGGAATGGTCTCGAAGACACTTCATTTTGACAGAAAAACCCCAAAAAACCACTGGGGCAGGGCACAGTCACCTTGTGCAGGTTCTGCTCCTCAGTGCTCTCAGCCCAATGTTGCTTGCCGTGCCAACGTCATGTGCGATGCTGTCCCTTAACAGCCAGAAGACCACTGGAGAAGTCTTTGGGCCATTATGTGCCTTCAGACATTGAAAAGGATGTGTGATAACAGGGGTGAATTTCTTTTTCAGTTGGTTTTCCACCGTTCCAGTGAGATGAGGGGTCATACCAACCCGGCTTTTATTTATTTCATGTTCCCTGGAGCAAGATTGCGAGGGATTGCAAAAGCTCTTCATAGAAATGTTTCTATCAGCTTGGTACAAACGAGCAACTCGAAATCTAGGGCCGTATTCAATAGCTATGAAGAACCAGTGTCAATGTGATGCTGCTTGTTACGAAGGCCCCCATTACCTTTTCATTTCTTGGTGATTTTAGAGTGAAACAACAAAGCTGGATGAAGGTAGACAACCAAGTAGTGTCTCTTGTTGTACGGGGGTCTTTTTGTGGCTTTAGCTTTGAACTTCCAGGAATACGGAGGTATTTATGGTATTTATGGACAGAGTATAAAGCAAATGGCCCGTCCTCAGATATACTTGAAATTTCTGTACTGTAAGTAGTATCTATTTTAATATATGCCTTCCTTATGATAAACACTGTACAAAACCATCCTAATAAACAGTTCCTGCTCATCTGGTAACACTGGGTTAAAAGGACAAGGGAAGAAACTGCCATGAAGTGAGGTACATCCTAGACAAGGGAAGAAACTGCCATGAAGTGAGGTTTCTCTTCCTTCAGCTGACCTTTCTGCTTAGTATATGTTTAGTGTAGGGAGTCCTGACATGGCTTCGAGTAGAAATCAAAGTGTATCAGTGTGTGAGTACGTGTATAATAACTCCGTGTCTACTTGCATTTGTACAATGCAAATTACGTGTGTATGATGGGAAGCTGGTGTTAGTATAACATCAAAACTGCAAATAAGTATCAAAGTCAGCAAATTCCGAAGGTTAGGATTCCTACCTCATTGACCCTTCCTTTCCTGCACATCCAGAATCTTTTCTAGTGTACCACAGTTTGGAAAAAAAAAAAAAAAAGGTAATAGAATAGTGTTAAAATTAAACAAAGAAATCAGACTAGAAAATGTGATATATTGCAGTGTGGCAATGTGAATGTTGTGGCAGAAATTGTAGCTTTTGAATTTTTGAGAGTATAAAGCTATGGTAAGGGTAGAATAATTTTATTTTTTAATTTTTTTTTAGCTAATTGTTCAATTTTAAATGTTAAAGAAAATGCTGACAGATGGCTAATATAATATCTTAATTTCTAGCATGTTAGTGACTTGCTTTCCTTGTAGAGTGCTTGGGAGGCCCCTCAGTAATGCTTGAACACCAGAAAAGCTACAGAGTAAATGCGGTTTGAAATGGGTCATCCTGAACTGGAGGGGATCAAGTCTCCTTTTTTGTAAGGAATCTGACTTTACTGAACTGGCACTTACATGAGATTTTACTTACAAAGGCATCCCCAAGAAATGACTCCTGCAGAGCATTAGGATAAAGGCTTTGGGTAAATGCAAATGCTGTAGTGCAAGAGAAAAAATGCTGACTTTAAGACACACATTCTTGGAATATCTTATATTTTTGGGGGAGTAGGCAGGATTACTGCTATGCCTGATGAAGTGTGGGTATAACATTGCTGGCAGAGGTATGTGGATGTATAAAAATTCATATCTAAAACATTTGAGGGTAGGGTTAAAAAATCTGTCTATTTTCATAATGAATATAGGATTCATTTTCTTCAGCTATAGGGTTACATCATGTGCAAGGCTGAGTGCCTCTGCAGGAGCCAAAGCACAGCTTTTAACTTCATGGCCATTTGTCTTTTAATCCACATGAGAAGTATATATATATCTCTGTTACATATCTGATACGTTTTATGAGATGTTGTGATATATATCTGAGAGATGTTAATATTGATTCTCTTTACAAGTGCTATTGGATTATGAAAGCGCAAATGTTTTAACTTGAAACTTAGGTAAAATATACTTTTTCATATGTACTTGCAAAAATGCAGTTTAACCTTTTTGGCAGGTATTTTTACCTTTTTGGAAGGTAGTCATGTTTGTGTATATTTGAAGAGTGAAATTGAAACAGAATGAGGACTTCCTTTCAGCTTCAGTACTTCATTCACTGCTGGTGAATGCAATGTGTTTTTGCAATATGTCACAAACTTTCAATATGTTGCAAAATTATTCAACTTATTTACAGTAACAGTTCTGCTGATTTATAGTCTCATAATACTGTGTTTGAACTTCCTGTGAGTAGTGATGTTTGTAGGAGAGGCTCTGTACCAAGAGCTGGTGGTAGATTGTCTGCAGAAATTATCCCAGATGTGTAGCGAACACAAAAGCAAATCAAGTATAATGATCCTCTCGTACAAGTTTGCTGAAATCAATTTCACCCTAAATATAAAGACAGATTTGCAAATATGAGACTGCTTTGACATTTCCTTATGAGCGTTTTTTCTTAAATATATTTTTCGCAGTGGCTTTGCCTCCAGAGAAGACAGATGGAATTTGCAGTGGAGATGAAAAGAAAGCAGAAAAAGAAAGTGACACACGCACAGGTTCCAAGAAGCAATTGAAATTTGAAGTAAGTTCTTTATGTTTTAAAGTTTCACTCTGCTGACATAATTATGGTAGAAAAATAACCTATGGACCAAGTAGTGCCCTCTGATGCATGTGTATAGCTCCCAACAATTGTAGGGGGTCTAGGAGGGAGCAGAACTGGCACAAGCCAGTCTCTGGCTATTGGTGCTCCCTATGAGGTGATTAGTGAGATTCTCCCAACAAATAGCTCCCAACAATTGTAGGGGGTCTAGGAGGGAGCAGAACTGGCACAAGCCAGTCTCTGGCTATTGGTGCTCCCTATGAGGTGATTAGTGAGATTTATTTCCAGGTTTGGAGAAGGTCAAATGATGATCATTCCTCTGTAGGATCTGAAATCTATAGTAGGAGGAGGCATTTGGTTTAACCCTTTATCTGTGATCCTTTCGTTAGTAATTTATTATGCCAGCTATCAATCAATGTTATCAAATCTTGAGATGCACTTCCATGGACTATTGCAGTTGGTTAAATCTACCTAGTGTAAAAGTGTTTGTGAAAGCTTCCATAACCATCAGTCTGCTCTGCCTGGGCCTCCAAAGTGAAATAACCCTGACCTGCTACACGGGAAATCCATAAGATCACATGGCAGGAGGAGAAGAATCCTGGAGGGCAATGAGTCTGATGGTCTGTTTCCTTCTAGACTTACAAACATCATAAAACTGCCAGACATTGTGTGTTGTTGGCAGGTTTTGTTTATGTAGGGAGTGATTTAATAAATGTGAGTATTGAAACATGCTGTCATCCAGCTAGAGGGTTGTCTGTCTTGGTGAGGAGGAAGATACTCCGGTACCGGCAAGAAACGGCACGAATTTTCATCTCTCTGCACTCCAGCAGATGTGGCAAACTTCTCCCTTTCAGTGCTGTCAGCCTGTCACAGTAATGAGCTTTGCGTTCCTCAATTGTTATTTAAAAGCCCATGCAGCCACCTTGCAGCATGGCTCCAGCGTTTGTTTCCTTCTCTAGAGCAGATTTACTAGTCTAGTATGATTTATTTTTTACTGTTTGGAGGCTGATTAAAAGGAGGTAGCTTCCCCATCGGCAGCGGAGGTGTTGCTAGGTGCTTGGGTGCCTTCTTGTGGGGGGGAGGTGACTTTTCCTGCCTATTAATTTTTGTTGCCCAGCGATACCTCTTTTTTTCTGGGCACATTTTATATTCTACCTTGAGTAGCAGGCATTTGCAGGCAGGAAAGGGATGATAAATTGCAATTAACGGTGCCTTGATATTTGAACGTTGGAGGACACCTGTCAACATGGCTGGTGCCAGAGGAGCTGGAGCTCCACGGTCCCAGCAAAGGCTGTGTTTGTTCCCAAGTAGTTCTTGGCATGCCATAAAGGTTAGCACTTGGTACTAGGCTCCATGACTAATGCAGGGAAGGTTGCCATGGCTCTTAACTAAGCAGAGCACATCCTCACATAAAGATGTTGTGTTAGGCAGTGGGGACAGGGAAGTATTAATATGTGGCAAGAAACCAAGTATTGATATTTTTCCCCTTGTTCTACAAATGAAAGTTTTCCAGCGATGTAAGCTAGGGGCTAAGAGGCTGGTAAATGCTTCAAAGGTATAAAAGAATCAGCAATGCAAGCGTTGAGACACGAGGGCTAAATCTGAGGTGGATGTGATTTGGCTTTTAAGGTGCCGGGAATGTTTATGTAACGTGAGACTGTGTTTCCACAGTCGAGTGTGGGGCACTTGGCAGCGCTCAGCCGGGCTCCTTACAACGGGGAGCAGCCTGCCTTTGAACTCAGCAGGGGACGGGGGGACCGGGAACTGCTGTAGGGAATTGGTTTCAAGTCAGAAGATCAACCAGGTATTTTGAGCTCTATCATGCCGAAGCTATTTGGAGCTGTTTATTTTACTTGCATACGGTGGCTTTCATTTTAATTGCACTGTAACTCTTCTGGTTTGCCTTGTCGCGGCTCTGGATAATTTTGATTGCGCAGGTCTTGAGAGAAAGCAAATGATTTGCACCCAGGTGACTGGAGTCAGTCAAAGTGCATCCTTTGTTCCTGACTGAAGTCTTGGGTTTGGTTTGAGAATGTGTGGGTTTTTTTTTTTTCCCTTTGACAAATTGGTTCTTCCAGGCTTTGCACAGATCACACTCTCACTAACAAAAGCGCAGTTAAAATAAGGACCGGGCACTACTCCCTCCCGGGTCGTTCTTACCCCCCAGCTCGGAGGCAGGCTCCCTTCCAGGAGCTGCAGTGGCACGATGCTGGACCACACTAACTCTGACAACCTTTGGGTATCAAATATCTGTGTCAAGGACAGGTCTGGCTGGTGGGGATTTGTGCCATATGTCCACTTTGTATTAATGACCCCTCCTGGCACTCTGGTGTCCCGCCTCGCTCTGTGAGTCTATTTCTGTTACCTTTCTCTTCCCCAGTTAAGCAGAGTTTTCTTTCCCACTTTTATAGTGGGAAATCTTACTATATTTCAAGAGCTTCAGGGAGTAGTTTCCTTGTACCTTTCTGTGTTTTCTACAAGGAAGTAGAAAGCATCTCGCAGATTGCCCGAGGTCTAGCCCAAGGGAGTTAGGATTATGGTGTGGTTGTGATGAGACTCCTTCAGTGTGGTGGACACAGGCCTCCCCGGGATGTATCCTGAAGGCTTCCTCCCACCAGGGAAGGAGGAAGGAAGAAAGCAAGCAGCCTCCTTCTACAGAGAGTCTCCTCTGCAAACAGGCCTTTTGCTTTAGGTAATCAGCTGCTCTTTGCATGTTTCTTAGGAATTGCAGTGTGATGTGTCTGTAGAGGAAGATAACAGGCAAGAATGGACCTTCACTCTGTATGACTTTGATAACAACGGAAGAGTCACACGTGAGGTAAGCAAAGTCCAGCTGCCCCTTTGTGTGCAGCGTTTGCTAACAAGAGACGTGTTTTATAACAGGAACATTTTTTCTTCTATGAAATAGAGGTGTCCTGCCAACTTAAACAGCAGTTTCCATGGACCCTTCCCTCCTAGAAACAATCCCACCAGTAGTTTACTGTTTTCAGATGTACTGTACCACTTTTTAAGCTGGTTGTTGTTTAATATCTGGGATTAGCCTTTAAAAAATAGTACTGGCGTTTGAGGAGGAAAAATATCTGAAACAACTGAACAACTAAACACATTGTCAAAATAAACCCCTGCAAATGTATATTGTTCTGGCTCCTATCCTGCTTTTCAGAGTTAAGCTAACCAAATAGCAAGGTTGCTTTCTGACATTCTTTCCAGTAGGACTAACTATACTGTTCTGTTGTTTTCGTGAATATTGGGCTGATCTCTGCCTTCTCCCTCCAAGTATAAATAGCACTGATAATACTTGCTGGATGGCCATAGCGAATGGCTGTCAGAGCATACCCAGGTGCCAGTTCTGTTATCAGGATCTCTTCAAGTCATAGTTCCTGTGCAAATAAGAAGCCAAATAAGAGGATGTATAGATTACGGTCCTTTTTCAGAATTATTTCTATCCGAATTGAATGATACTTCTTCTAGAAGAATGTCTTTTACTGATACTTACTGCAATGTGCTGTCATTGATTTCTTGTGTGTGTGTGTGGTGTGTTTACTGCCTCCCATGCCTTCAGATAATCAGCTGAAAATTGACAGTTTTTGTCTCTTTTTGCTCTTCTGCTGGTGTCTGTGAAAATTACTAAGAATTGATTGAAAGGAATAGAGTAAAGACTGAAAGGGTAGTGGCCTTATATACCAAAGGAGGGCAGAAATTTTTCATACTGAAGCAAATCTCTTTTGATATTTATGAACAAATTGCCAAATGTGGTGGTTGTTCAAGGTTTTTAACATGTATATGAAGATCATTCCTGAGCTTTTTTTATTGTCTCTACTCTGATAGTGCTTAGAATAGTCAAATGAAATCTGTGCTCTTCATGTAGGAGGATAAGCAGATGGCCAAGTCCAGAGTTTCAAACGGGACAATGAGATGTAGAGGGAGAGGGCAAGGAGAACGGGGGGTGGGGAAGTACTATTGTATTTGTTAATGTATGGGGAACAGCGACCAGAAAAATGAAATAACTTGCCTGAAGTCTCACAAGAACCTAGTGGCAGATTGAACCCAGATCGTTTGAGAGACCCGGGGCTAAGTCTTCATTACAAGATTATCGTGACTCTTAAAGAATAGGGGAAAAGCACACAAAACCCAGACCCACACACATGGGTGTCCTTTACATCCAGGCATGGAATTCCCATTAATGTCAGTGGGAGTTCCATGTGCTGAACATAACGAGAATATGCTTTTAAGTATGTATACAATAATTATTTGTGATTATGTGGTACACCAAAGAGCTTAATTTGACCGTGCTTAGAGAATATGTTACAGCCAAATTCTACCTCTCCCCGCTACAAGAGCAGACTGCAGCTTAACTGAAACCAAATCTGTGCAGGGATTGAAAATTATACTGCTCTGAGGTCTGGAGGTTGCTATATTCGGGCTTGAACCTCTGCCAAAAAAAATTCTTTTAACCAAGGGGCCAAATAGGTTGATAATTTTCAACTCTTTACATGGGACCAAAGATAGAAACAAATGGTGTGCACCATTGCAGAGCTTCCCAGCTACGTTACACACTTCTTTCGCAGGCTGCTCCAGTGCCATTTGTACAATCCATCTTGTTGGTTGTCTTCTGCTGAATCCAGATGCAATTTAAGAGTTGTTTGTGCCAGAATGACTAATGATAGATAATCTCATAGATAATCTTGGCCACAAAAGAGGAATTTCAGTCTCTTCATATGACACACAATTTCTTGTTCTATCAGCCCCTGAGAGACTGACAGTAAACGTAGTGGGTTTGATAGTGCCCTTTGTTAAGCAGCTCTGCTCCTGGTCCAGCAAAGGAGGTAATGATGGTGAATGTTAAACGTGTGAATAGCTTCAATTAAAATAAATGGAACACATGCTTTGAGTTAAAAGTATGTGAAGCACATCCCTGGCTCAGGGACAGAAGGGCCAGTCTGAGGAAGAGGGCTGATCTGTACCAGTGCCATTTAGTGAGCTGATGAAAATGCTTTGAGAACTGGTCAGCTTTTCTAAACAAAGGTCCAGTGTTCTTGTGAGAAAAGCTCAGTGTGGACCTTTTCTCCTTCTTTGAAAATTTCGCTTTAATGTCTCCTGGATTTATAGCTGGATTTAACAGACAGATGAAGTTTCTTAAGTCAGATTTCTATCTGTAGGCCTTAAGGTGCTTTACAAAAAGAAGTCAGCCTTATCATTCTTGTTTTTTATGTTGGAAAAGTGAGACACTGGAAAAGGAAGTGATTTGCTCACCCACATCCATTTCATTTGATTCAAAGTCCTCGTGTTTAAAGCATTGGACTTCAAGTCCAGAGAGTTTCCAAAGGAATACAGAGTGTTAAATGAAGTTTGTAAGAGACATGTAGGTGGGGTGCAATTTTACAAGTGGACAAAATGTTTTTTTCATTAGAATGTTTCAAAATTGTAAATAAGATACGGATTTAGTTACTGGATAAAATTTCCCTTGGATTTTACACAATGACAGATCACCACAAGAGCATTCAAATTCCATCTTAGTGAAATTTCTTCTGGATCTTAACAACATCTTCAGAACTTAATACCGCTTTGATTTCCTCCTGGAGTCTGTACGACTTATTCCGTAGTCCTTGTAATTAGAAATTCAGATCTAGTCATGCTTCTTGAAGAGATACGCCCATTATGAAAGCATAATTATTGGGATGGCAAATTATAAAATTAGCATTGCTCTATGTTATTGAACTGCTACTTTTTCTGTCATAGAAGGCGACCATTTTTCAGTCCTTTTGGTGTAGCAGGAGATAACTTTTCCTGCTCTAATATGTATATTACAAAACTTGGCTAATAACGTTTCCCTTCATTCCATAAGCCATAAGAGGACAATTCATTACGTACTGCAGGCCTTTTTAGAACTGACAGCTGCACTGTAATTATCTTCACACGGATATTTGTAATCAGACTTGAAACTTGGATAATTGAACTAATGTGTTTTGATCCACGAGGTTTTATATTGAACTCTCTGAATGTAATTATACTTCATAAACACTAGCCTTTTTTTTTTTTTCCTCAATCAGTTCTTTCTTGGAAAATTGAGTTTCTTTGGTGAGCGACTGCACAGGAATAAGCACACAAGGAAGTTGCTTGTCAGGAGTAAAGAAAGGGAATTTCTTCTAGACTAGTTTTTGAGTAGATAGCAAGTGAAGTTCCTTTCAGGTTCCAAATAAGAATGATTCAAAAACGTATGTGATCAAACAAAGCTGATGTTGCAATAAAAACATCCTGCTGTATGTAAAAATCAGACTACAAACAAAGTACAAATAAGACATTTGTATTTTTCTTTTTCTGAGGGAAAGGTAATGAACTGGTATTGATGTTTCTCTTCATGCATTTTTAATGCTCAAAATGTTCTTTGTATCTTACATTAAATACCCAATTTCTCCTCTTATGTTTCTTTTTTTTTTTAGCTTCCCTTTTTAGTTATTTTTGCTCATATCCTGAGTAATGGGGGAGAAGGTTTGAGGTTATTTCTGTATTTGGAATTCAGCACCAGATCTTTATCTTGGGGAAGGACACTGGCTTTTCTGGGGCTACTGGTTATCAGCCTGATCCTTATCTTGAAACGTGCTGGTTTTCCCTGTGTCTGTCAGCATTGTATTAATGTTGCATATGATGAACATTAGAAGCAGCATGATATAGATACAGAAGCAGCAATGGAACCAACAGATAGAGGAGTAGTGTCTGTATCAGAGGGCCATCATTTCAGCCATTAGATTTGGTGGATTTGTGCCAGAGAGAAATATTAGGAGAAAATATGAGTTTCTCTTTTGGTTTTAAGGGAAGCCAAAGACATGTCTCGCAGACAAGTTACAAAGAATCACACTGAATGTTTTCTTTCAGTGTTATTAAATTCAGGAGAGGGGTTTTTTTTATTTCTTTTATTGTCATTGTTGTGTCGTTTGAGTTTTTTTGTTTGATTGGGTGGGTTTTTGGGTGGTGTTTTTTTTCTTGGTCTTTTTGTGCAAATGTCTCATTTTGTTAAATTAATTCCACTGGAAAAGCCTCTTCATTTCCTTTACAGAGTCTCTAGTTTGCTAACTAGTCCTTGGATGATAAGCTATGCTAATAATGGAAAAGTAGGGTCATCCCTCTACCACTAATGTTCCTTAGAAGTAAAAAATTGATACCTGTAATAGGAACTTTCTGAGTCACATGAGCTCTGTAAGGAATGAAGAATACTGCAGTGTCATTTGTTCTTCTTTTTTGCAGACCCATTGGTTTCTCTGAATGTTTTAAATTCCTGCTAATCTCCTACTGGAGATCTGTAAAGTATTCTGCGGGTAGACGTGTGAGCGCAGCGTCCGTGTGTGGCCTTAACTGTTTGCTTTTCAGTATTTCTAATGCAAGTATTTCTGGCAATCCATTAAAGTTGCTCTTTTTAATATACTTTGTTGTATTAGCTGCTTGATAAAATAGGATGTGAAAAACATACAGATTAACACTGTTAAATCCTTCAGCCCTGGAAAAACCAACTGTAGCCTTCAATAAGCAAGGCACAAATAAATCTGGGTATGGCATGTGCTGGCTGTTTGGATACTACCCAGCAAGCATTTGTTTTCCTCTTTGAGGAAAAATGTCATAGTTTCAGTTCTCTTGCTTGATTAAAGTAGCTATCCCAGCAGGAATTCTGCACGCTAGAAGCCCTTCAGAAGTTAGGTAGATTCCTGCAGCCTGTTTCCCCTCTAAATATAATCCATTTGCTGGAAAGGAGAGAATTTATTATTTTTTTTTAATCCTCTTTACCCATTTAATATATTAATTTAAAAATCCACAATGATTTTTAACTAGAAATGGTTTAAAAGTACATTTTGGTAAAAACAAAACAACAAGCAAATTATATTTTCGGAAAAAGGGGAAACACTGAAAAATACGTTATTGTATATTTTTCATGTAAAAAGGGAGGAAATTTGAGAAATGTGGGATGAAACTTTTTGTGTGGGAAAAGCTGAGCAGTTTTAAGCAAAGGAGTTGCAAAATTATGTGAGTAGTAAAAATCGTAACCCATTGTGCAGAAAAGTTAGATTTTTTGGTAGGTGGTCTCTGAGACATGCTCTGCTGGTTGGTGTACCAGAAGAGAGGAAAGTGCCACTAGCTTTTATTCTTGATCTTTGACGCTAAATTTGTGGAGGAGTGTGAAATGCACAAGCTGGTGTGTAGAAGGTGAAGCCGTGTCAATGGTTTTAGGCAGTTCTTTAAGGACTTTAAATGCAGACAATGTTCAGTGGGGCAGCTTTCAAGCGGGACATAATTTACCTCAGTCTCCTGGCAGGCTACTAGAAGATGAACATTCTTTTGGGGGTAAATACAGACATAACCATAAAATAAAAATTTTGTAACGTAAATTTTCATGGTCTGGTGCTACTAATTTGACAAGAAGCCATTCCTGGTTTAGCTGCTAAAAAAGGGCTATGAGAAGGTAGTTTTAGTCACCATTCAAAAGTCATTGGTGAAGACCACTCCCACCAGGTCAGGGCCTTGGGAATGTGTCCATTCCCACCAGGTCAGGGCCTTGGGAATGTGTATGTTGTAGTTGTGAAGCAGTAACTGGAAGGCACCAGGAGGTCCAGGCTGCTGGTACCTACTTGCCCTTGGTAGATGAGAGAGTAGCGAATGACCCAAGCAGGCTTGTTTGACCAAATCAGAACTGTCAGTTTGCTTGAATTTCCAACCCCGAATTAAGACCACAAGTAAATGAATCCTATAATACAGATGTTGTTGTCGGTATTTAAAAGATCAGCCTGAGCATTAAGCGGTTACTTATGGATATCCCTAACCTCGATCTTGGGATAGATCCAGTCTGACGACCACGTTCGTTCCCTGCCAGAAGGCAAAGAGGTTCAGTTTGCTGTGGAGGAAGTTGGGATTAAACATGCACTGAAATGCCCAAGCAGCAGAGCGTAAGGCCAAAAGGTGTCTTGATACCTCTGCGCAGCCTCTGAAACTGTCTGGAGCCTAGACATTAATTTGGGTTAATTTGGGCCTGTTTGGCTGAGAGATGGGGATTGTCCTGATGTGATATGTGAGTGCACGTATTTCCGACTTGCCAAGTATGTGTCACACACAGATTGCATCTGGCCTTCCTTCACAGCATTTCAGGGTATTTCTCAAACTGCTGAGTCAAGAAGCTCGTTGAGGAAGACCCTTAGAGAGCAGAAGGCCCTGAGCGTATCCCAGTTAGACCTCACCACTGAGAAAAACTCATGCAAAAGGACAGCGGGAGTAAAGACTTATTGTCTTTGCCAATTGAAGTTAATATAGATGAGATGATCAGCTTGTGCAAACACCTGGCTTAGCTGAAAACAAGGAAGGGGGACAGATTATTGTGAATGAAAGAGTTGATGATAACCTCTTGCTAGTAGCCTTGTGTGGAAAGATGCCATGTGGGCTAACCACCACTTGAAAGTTGATAACCTCTTGCTAGTAGCCTTGTGTGGAAAGGTGCCATGTGGGCTAACCACCACTTGATAAGGAACCTATGGGAGAGGCTCCATTCACCAAAGTGCTGAGCGTACAAGGCCCTATTAAGAATACAGATGGTGCTGAAGTGTCCTGCTGAATGGGAAGGTTTGGGTTATCGAGGTGCAGGATGATAGCACAAGGGTGCTAGAATGTAATTTATGGAGGGTGTATAAAGCAACAGATAGGTTTTGTTTGGTGGTTTGTTTAGAAAGATGCCATGTGGGCTAACCACCACTTGATAAGGAACCTATGGGAGAGGCTCCATTCACCAAAGTGCTGAGCGTACAAGGCCCTATTAAGAATACAGATGGTGCTGAAGTGTCCTGCTGAATGGGAAGGTTTGGGTTATCGAGGTGCAGGATGATAGCACAAGGGTGCTAGAATGTAATTTATGGAGGGTGTATAAAGCAACAGATAGGTTTTGTTTGGTGGTTTGTTTATGTTATTGCTTGGTTAGGTTTTTCTCATAGACGAAATAAAAATCCAGCCCTTCAAGCTGGCTGTCAGAAATGTCTGTGTCTATTTGGAGATCTGGATAGGTTTCAAATTAGAGCAGAAGTGTGAGAACTGAAATGTATTAAAGAAAGAGCTGCAAGGTGTCCACCAGATTGTCACAGAGTGTCTCCCTCACTCAAGCTTTAGACACTGGTTCTTGTCCAAAGGATGGAAAGCAGCTACTGACACGGTAGTAACAGCCCATATATGTTTCAACTCTTGTGGCAGTGGTAGAAAAAAATATTTCAGTGGGGAATTAAAGGAGAGACTGCAAATTCGGCTTTTTTTTAATAAATGTATTGTCTTGAACTCACAAGTCTGGAGCAATGCTACTGAGTTAAAGAAAGAGCTGCAAGGTGTCCACCAGATTGTCACAGAGTGTCTCCCTCACTCAAGCTTTAGACACTGGTTCGTAAAGAAAGAGCTGCGAGGTGTCCACCAGATTGTCACTGAGCAGTCTCTCCCTCACTCAAGCTTTAGACACTGGTTCTTGTCCAAAGGACATATATGTTTCAACTCTTGTGGCAGTGGCAGAAAAGAATATTTCAGTGAGGAATTAAAGGAGAGACTGCAAATTCGGCTTTTTTTTAATAAATGTATTGTCTTGAACTCACAAGTCTGGAGCAATGCTACTGAGTGCAGAAACGTGAGACAGGGTACATGATAAGACCCTCTAGATTTAGTTACTCGTTCTGCCTGTTGAGCTGGAAAATCATCTACTGTCCTCGCCATAAGATCAGTATTGCCCTAAATTCAGTGTGGGTAGAAATTAGTATTTCTGTGTCACCTTTAAAGCTGGTTAGATAATGAGGACTGTGTAGTATATTGAGTACTGAAGTAGTACTGAGTGCAGAAACGTGAGACAGGGTACATGATAAGACCCTCTAGATTTAGTCATATATGTTTCAACTCTTGTGGCAGTGGCAGAAAAGAATATTTCAGTGAGGAATTAAAGGAGAGACTGCAAATTCGGCTTTGGAAAGCAGCTACTGACACGGTAGTAACAGCCCATATATGTTTCAACTCTTGTGGCAGTGGTAGAAAAAAATATTTCAGTGGGGAATTAAAGGAGAGACTGCAAATTCGGCTTTTTTTTAATAAATGTATTGTCTTGAACTCACAAGTCTGGAGCAATGCTGCCGAGTGCAGAAACATGAGAGAGGGTACATGATAAGACCCTCTAGATTTAGTTACTCGTTCTGCCTGTTGAGCTGGAAAATCATCTACTGTCCTCGCCATAAGATCAGTATTGCCCCAAATTCAGTGTGGGTAGAAATTAGTATTTCTGTGTCACCTTTAAAGCTGGTTAGATAATGAGGACTGTGTAGTATATTGAGTACTGAAGTACTGGGACCCATTAAGGCTTACTAAACTTCAAGCTGCTGTTGTTAAGGGCAAAGGAAAAATTGTGGAGGTTTTGAATGGACCCATTAAGGCTTACTAAACTTCAAACTGCTGTTGTTACGGGCAAAGGAAAAATTGTGGAGGTTTTGAATTTTTATAGACCCAACTCTTAATCCTCAGACCCAGTTAGACTTAACAAAGCATAATTTAGATATTTCCTTTGTGCCTGCTGGCATTTGGAAAGCGCTCGGGTACCACGATAGATCAAGGAATAGGAGGACCAGCATGGAGGAATTCTCAGGTATATGTTGAATGGGATCTTTATAGCCTGCAAGGACCCATATACTTTGGCCTTAGGTTGGTGCCCAGGATCAATTTGGGTGAAATCCCTTCAGGAAAAAGCAGCGAGCTAAGAGATCTCCTTTTCATCCTGGCCGTTTAAGGCAGTACCCTATTTGAGCCTGGCTGGATGAGATCAACCTGAGAGACCTTTGAGCATCACCAGCTACTAAACAGTGTTTGGAAAAGATTAGCTTATTGAATTTGGCTGCTGTTCTTTCTGATATAGCCAGACATGGGAGCATTTGTTCACGTCCCATCGCCTTCAAAGAGATGTGTGAAGAATGTTCTGTAATAGGCCTGACTGGATAATCTCTGCTGTTCAAAATTGTAAATTTAAAACTGGTTTGAATTTTGCAAAATAAGCTAGACCCCGATATGCATATGGTAGAGTGACATTCAGATGTCATTTCTTTCCAGACCGGGGGTTTACAGTTCTGCCACTTCTCTTACTGGTTTTCCTCTTTATAATCAACCATTTAACTACCTCAAGAAAAAAACCCAAGAAGTAGTAGGAGTGTAATGTCCAAGATTTTCTTCAATTACTTTATTTGGTTTGGTCATGTGAACACAATTTTTAGTGGAGCATGAATGGTTCTCCCTGGGTTCTATTGAAACCAAAGAAAGGAAAAAGCAGAACACAACTCTGCTGATTCACAGTTTGGGAACCTCAATACCTTGTGCTTTTATTATTGCTTTGATATGATTTACCCCTTTTCATAAATCTTATGCCATTTGATGAGGAAGAACATGGATGTAATTAAATCATTCCCTTCTGTGTCTGTGAGTTACACTAGAGTCTATATTAATGAAAATGGGGGTTAACAGAAAAGAGAAATGAACCCTTTCTTGTAAGGTCCTGTGCAAGTTCTGCTCTTTTAAATTCCGTGATTTCTGAGGATATTTCAGCATTTAATAGTCCCAAGTCTAAAATAGTTATAAGTATCAAAGCTGTAGGTTTCATACCATTTTCACAATAGCATGTCTTTTTGTGTTTCAATCCAACTGTAGGATATTACCAGCTTGCTTCATACCATCTATGAGGTAGTTGACGCATCAGTAAACCACTCTCCTAGTTCCAGCAAAACTCTGCGAGTGAAACTTACTGTGGCACCAGATGGCAGCCAGAAGAAGAAGAGCATCTTATTAAATCACACTGGTAAGGATGTGCAATCAGCCATTGGAAAAAGTACAAAAAAATTCAAGAACCCCTTAAAAATCCTTCTTTGTATTTTGTTAATATAAATAAATATATGCTTAAAGGCAAATAATTATGTGGGTATGTAAAACCCCGTGAATCTGTTTTAAGATCTCAGGTGCAAAATTGCCTGCCCTCCTTTCAGTGTCTCTTGAGCAAATTAGGGTTCCCTCTCCTGATTGATTGATTCCTCTTGGCAGCAGCAATAACCCATATGTTGTGTAATTGCCTTTGTGTACTGCAGGGCAGATTTAAGGCCTTTTTGACTTGTACCACTTTAACTCTGCTGATATTACAGTGCCTGGTTTGTGTGGAAACAGATGTAGTGGTATAAAATGTTTTTTGCAAGTGCATAGCTATCACTGCTGCTGGATAAGAACAGACAATTAAGCATAAAGTAACCTTTATGAATGTATGCATAAAAAGTGCACATTTTTCTGTACTGGCAGGGTCTGCCATTATAAAATGGATTAACCTTATATTCAATCTAATCATAGTTATATCAGCATAATTACTTAAGTAGATAAAGTAGTACTAAATTAAAATACTTTAAAGTATTTTTAAAAGTATAAAAGTAATACTTGAGTGGAAAATGTGGGCACCTTATCCAAAAGGAGAGCCCCCTTACCTCAGTTTTAATATATACACCCAGTCAGTCAGATGCAGACACGACCAAATCTGCGCTGCTGGGGAGCTGTGTGATGCATTAGGACAGCATCGTGCTCCAAACTCCCCAGCCCTGCTGAGGGACAAGCATAGCAGTGCCAATGGGGCTCCATTTAACTCCTCACATGGCTTGAAGCCTGACCCTGACTCATGTCCTGCAGTCAAGGTTATGGCTGCCCAAATTCTGTCGTGCGGACAAAAGCGCTCTGGAGAAGGTTACACGCAACGATACATTACATCTTGATCCCACCGACAAGAAAAAGAATGTGTTTGCAGTGTAGCATGTTAGTTATGCTGATGAGCTGGGACAGTAATGTGAGAATAATGTACTTTCTCTTGTTGGCAGATTTGCAGAGTGCCAGGCATAGAGCTGAGAGCAAGGCTAATGAAGAGGCAAGAAGCTCTGAGAAGAAGCAACGAGCTTCTCTCAGGTAAGGGGAAAGAAGCCCATCTCCTGACAGGCCCTGAGGAAGCCTCAACCACTGATTTCTTGTCTGCTCACTTGCTTTATTTTAAAAAAATATGTTGAAATAGAGGAATTACAAGATTTTTCACTGTGGAACCACCAGCAGATTCCATGGGTGGATACTTTGTATGTTAAAACAAAAACCAAAAAACCAAATCTGTAGCACACATTACTCAAATTTTCTTCTTCTGTTCACTCTTTGGAGGACACGCAGTGTCTTTTTACATGCCATCTGCAAATATTGTACCTACTGGTGAAGTTTATAACACAGCCTTTTGGCTAAAAACATCCTAAAACCTGTTCAGCTTCATAGAGTTCCTGCCTTTCTCTGTCTTCCTTCTTGCCCATGTTTTTCACTGGCAAACTCAAGCTTTATTGACTTGTTTACCAGCCAGACCTGCTTCTCCATACGGCCTCTGCTCCTAAAGGAAGCAGCTTGGAGGTGGCACTGGCTCCAGTAGCTAGAGCGAGGAGGAAAGCAGCAATCAGCTCTACAGAATAAGCAACAAACAAGAGCTTCCAACAGCCTGCCTGCCCCGTGCTCAGTTCTGCTGAGGTGGCTCAACTCCACTTAGAAAGCGTGTCTGTACATTTGGTAGGAGAAGTAAATTCACCTCTTCCTTACCTCTCAGTGAATTAGCAGAAGAGCTGTCTCCTCTGGCTGCCACCTGCCAGAAACCAAGCTTCCCCGCTGCCACGTCAGCTTTGGGGCAACTTCTCCCCTTAAAGAATTAGTCATTCAGTTCTACACCTGTAGGAATTAGCCTGCTTGCTTACAACCAATGTATTTAATGTAATCTTGCAGGAAAATAGGGACAATTTGATCTGTCTTTCTTTCTTTTTTTCTTCATAAGTCTCAGAATACATTTCATCACTTGAAAAAATAGCTGTGTGTTGCCTTTCCGTGGAATCCAGCCTGTGTGACTCAGGGTGCACCCCTTTCCAATAAAGCACAAGCACAGGGGTTTCTTTTATGAACAGCTGCAGGTAGACTTGCAGCCATCTACAGATTAGATTTAAAAAAAAGGATTTTTAGTTCTTCCCTAACAGAAGGTACAATATTATTTTGGATGCCTGTTCAGAACAGGCCTTTTCACTCTGAAAATGTGGAGTTCTGTGTAGCTACCCTGTTACCATGAGCTCTGCCTACATGATAGCTATTACTAGCAGTGAACTTCAGAGTATGTGGTAATAATTTACAATGCGTTTTTCAAGTATTAAATTTTTTTACAGCTAAGAAATGTTAATCTCTTGGTCACATGTAGGTATGCTATTCCTTTTCTGAATTTGGTAGTTTAATGGATAGAAAAACAAATCAGAAGCAGGTAATTTTGATGCAATTTAAAGTAGATTAGTTGCTCCAGACAGGTTATCTTAGTGTATACATTTGATTTGTTTTAGGATTTTACGTTTCATGCTAAGGCAGAGGCAAGTGTTTGCTGAAACTTGAGAGTAATGACACTGAATCACTAGTTGCATTTGTTTCTTCAGCTGCAAATTTTAAAAAAACAACAACAAACAAACCAGTTTTGGCATTACTTGGACTTAGGGATATACATGTATTTATACATGTATTTAATTTAATGAATTTATCTGGAGAAGGAGCATTTAATTTTATTAAAAATGACAACAAAACCGCACCTCCCTTTTTTGGATGGAGTTGAAAATGCTAGTGAGTAAATCCCAGTACAATCAAATTTCAGATTAAAAAAAAGACTAAAACGACTGATAATCTTCTGTTAGCAACTCTGCATGAAATCTTTCATGAACTAAAGAACACTCTATGTGAATTAGACAATACTCCATGGTTTTGCTTGCTGGCCTGAGGTGGTGTTTGGATTCCCTCTGCCCATTAGCAAAGGTTTGCCCTGTCTGAATTTAATGGATGGGTTTTGTTTGATAATCTATTGCAAATATCCCCTTTCGGTTTGAAGAATCAGCACCTGACAGCTGTCAGCATCTGACAGTTTTTGTTGCATCTCATTAAATGTGGCCAGAAAAAAGAATGTCCTCTTCACACTCTGTATGTTCAGGGGTGTTTGTGCACTCTGGCCAAATTGCTGCCCCTCAGGAAAGCTCCCTGAGGCTCCTACCAGAATCTCCCCCTGTTAACACAGAGGTTTCCCCTTTGAAAGCAGCAATGAGGACTTGTGAGAAGTGCACACATTTCACAGATTCAGTCACTTAGGAATTCTAGGCAAGATGTGATTAATATTCAAGATAAAATGGATAGAAATGTTTTTATCCTGAAGGTGGGCGATAGATGGGTTAGATTTTTCATCTGCTGGAAGCTACAGGCAGGAGTTTTCATCTGTAGGGCTAATACAAGCATCGAGATCAAGTAAGAAGATTCATAGCTCGCTTGCCTGGCGTGTGTGGTATAAAATTCGTGGTGGAAGAGCACTGGCAGGCAACTTTGTGGATTGGGTATCTTCATGCCATTCTAGTTTGTATTTTATTTAGTGCAACAGAGAAAATGTGATGCACACCAGCCTCTAAAACATCTTCCTTTTACCCACAGATAAACATTCTCACTCTCTTTCTTTCCTGCTTGAATGATTTCTCCCTTAGTGGCTGAAACCCTGTTATCAGTGAGTGTAGCTTTCAGGAAATGTCCTTGCATTTTCCTCCCCTGCTCTCTGTCGCTGCTCTATTCCCTCACCTACTCTGTTGCTCTCTGCTTATTACCATCAGAATGACACTCCAGCGTGGGAATTTTAGACAGAGCTTTCATACACTCCACAAACACTTAAGCAGATGCCTTTTTTTATTAAAAACCCAACCGAACCAAAAAAAAAAACCCACCAGCCAGTAACGACACTGTATATTTTTACACCCTGTGCTTGCTGCAAGGTCGATGCATGCCTGTGTCTTCCCGTGTGTGTGCAGGAGGGCATTGTGGGGCTGGGTGCCAGACACTTCACTTCTCAGAAGTACTTAAAGTTCTCTTTAACAGTGCAGCCCATCTCTCACCAGTATATAATTGCTTGGCTGTCTGTATTTGCATGAGTATTGCTGAACGTCGTCTTGCATGCAAGAAAGCCATTAGAGTGCAGGGCTGTGGCAGCGCTGGCGGAGTTTTTCTTCACTGTCTTGATGAGAGATGGAATTTATTACAGTAACAAAAGAACAGGTTCCCTGTTAACTTAGTTTTCAACAGTGCTGTGTACAGTGTTGCTTAATTGCGTTGGATCAAACCCAGTGATGGTTTTTCTGGGTTAACTGTGCATTTTCTTCAGCACGCGTGTGCGAGTCCCAGAGGTTTCTGTAGGCAAGTCATGCCTGGCAACTTCAGTTCGCCAGGTTCTCACCCCAGAGGTCTTTTATGTTGACCTGCTGAAGTGTAACGACCTGTAAAGGTGTGTCTGAGGCAGGAAAGGTACCAAGTTGGCTATGTATCCAAAAAAATAAAGACTATCTGGACATTCCCTCTTTTTTGACAGTACCCCATGTCACTTCTGGAGTTCAAAGCTGACTCAGAGTCTTTAAAGCTTACCTGCTTTCCAGGCAGACTCTCCTCCATTCAGGAGACTCTACCTCTATCAAAGTAGAGCAAAAATGATCTTCCAGGTAGGTCAAGTCTTGTGACTTTTATCAAAGAAACTGTAGACCTGTGTCTGACAGAGACACGGGGGACTCAGTTCTGTAATGTCCCTGAACAGTACTACGCTAGACCAGGCAAGCAGTTCGTGCCAAAGCTCAATGGGATCAGCAGCCTCTGGAAACCTGGAATGGTTAATAGAGTCTAAAAGCAGAGAACTGGGCACCGTGCAGCGCAGAGCCCATACCTAACAACTGGTGTGGGATACAAGGCCAAATTCTGGTCTTAGGTTGACATCAGTGCAATGGCACAGAGCAAGAGGGAAGCCTGCCTTGTGGTCTCGGAGATTGAACTATGTGAATGACAGGCCGTGACTTAATCAAGGGGTTTCTGCTTATCCTGTTTGTTATATTGAAAATATTGTTCATATCTGCAGACATCCATTTAAATTGCTGAGTGAAATTGTTCGGCATTATGGGCTACAATACTGTAAACCTCTGCCTTATTTTTTTTCTGTCTCATAAATGAATGGTATTTCAGATATTCATTCTCAGGAAATAGTTCTGCTATAAATAAAATTGCAAAGCTGAGCAGGAAAAGGAGTCGAGATCCTGAAGCCAGCGGCTGATCCGACCTTATTAATTGTATTTTGGAAAGCAGTGGTTATCTCTGGGTGTCCTACCAACACCTTCTCTTCTCGGGCTCTCTCTGGTTACTCCACCTGTGCTGTTGCCTGTCTTTGTGAAGCAGATCCTGGTGGATGTTTGTGTGACACGAGGCTCACCCCAGCCCTTCCCGACAGCGGTGGGAACAGCCCTGAATCAAACAGCGGGTTTTCTTTGGCACGTCCAAATTAAGAGAATCGGTTGAATGGTTTGGCCCTAAGACAGAATGCAATAAAGCCTAGGAGGGTTTTTATTTGCTTTTGCCTGTGTGATGCAATTTGAAAGCCTCCTTTGCTTTGCAACATCGGGGTCGATTTATAGGAGGGGGAAAGAACAGTCACTTCAGCCCTATCGACGTAGCAGATCCGGTCAGCCAGAATTCCAAGCGTTTGTTGTTTCTTTGTGAGCAACTCCCCGTCACTTCAAAGGGGCCATTAGTTGTTGGTTTGCAGATGGTGATAACAACTTTAAAGAAGTTCTGCTGAACTCTAATTTTGCTTCCTGCTGACAGATATCACCAGAGTGAGAACAATCCAGAGCAAAGTGGGTGCTATCGTCATTGCGTTGATGAGAACATTGAAAGGAGAAACCACTATTTGGATCTTGCAGGAATAGAAAACTACACATCAAAGTTTGGGCCAGGTAATTTGGTAATTTATGTTGCAACCTTTTCATCTTTCCTTTCTTTGGTTGCGTGTTCCCCATCAGGGGCAGTGAATTGGGAACCCGTGTGATTTGTCTGTAGGGACTTATTGGAAGGAGTAGGGCTGTGTGAATGCTGCGAGGTAATTACTGATGAAGGTGGTATCACAACAGAGCAGCTAATGTGCTGCAAGCTTTGAAGTACCTGTTTGCGTAGCTAAACTTGGAGATGAGCCTAAGAGAACAATCTTTACATCTAAATTATTAAGTTTAGTCTATGGGGGAGGTGAGGACTGATTTTTGGATGTTGGAGCTTGTTCCCATATTTTGTACTCAATACTGACCCAAAAATTGGACAATGTGGGTTCATACCTGGAATTTTGGCTTCTGTCCCCAGATTAAGGGGATTTGGATTTCTTCCCTTTCCCTGTCCTCTGCCAATATTTTACTATTCCACTCTCAGTTATTTTGGTGAATTTCAGATAGATGATGACCAAGAAAGGTAATGTAGAGGCTTTTATACACACCCCCACACGTACACGAGCACACACTCTTGTATGGATACGTATGTATATATGTGTGTATTATTTACTAGTCAGAATTATTAAATGTAATTAAACTTGACAGCTATAATTGCATTCATTTCCTTAGGAAAAATTCACTCTGCCGATAAATGCTATCCCTGCCAACTGCATGCTACTAATTAAAACTTTGAAATACTAGATGACTAACTCAGCTTGTTATTTCCTAGGATCTCCTCCAGCAGCTCAAAAACATGACCCACCAAGCAGAGTTGTGAATCAGACTAGATCCCGTTCTCATGAACCCGAAACCTTCCATGCTCACCATAGGAAATCTCAAGTGGTGGATCCCAGCCACATCAATCTGGCTGAGAGCTCCTACGCCAAGATCGCAGAAATCCAGCAGAGGCTCCGGAACCAGGACTCAAACAAGCACTTTGTGAGGTCTCCCAAGGCCCAGGGCAAAAACGTTGCCCCTGTGCATCCTGGAAGGGCAGTAAGAAATAAACCTTTTCAAGGGGCACCCATGCCAATGGCTTCCCCAAGTGCTCGGGTGGGCCAGAATCTTCCTTACCTCCCCTTGCAATCTCAACAGGTTCACAAGAAGCATAAGCAGAGGGCGAAGGAGAATCACCAAATGTGCAAAACCTTTCAGTCTCCAGGGACGGTTGTGGAAAAGGAACATGTGAGAGACCTGCCCACAGTCATTTTATATGAAGGCCAAGTTGGACAAATGATACAAAGACATGAACACCACCACCACCACGAGCACCACCACCACTACCATCACTTCTACCAGACATAAAACAGATCCCACCAACATCCTCCAAGAATCATCCCATATGAAGGAAATGCGTTCTTGTGATACCAGAACTAAGGCATTACTATGATTAATATTATTGTTACTCCATTAATATTCAGCTAGCATATATTTTAGAGGTTATATGGAACTCTTGAAACTTACCCTATTTATATGTTGTGGAACTGCATAGCTTACTTAAACACCTTGTGGATTTTTTTTTTTTTTTTTTTTTTGAGTTCTCAAACAAGAAATAGTTTGTGCAGAAGGCAGGGGGAATATGTGTTTTTAGAGCTTTTTTTTTTTTTTTTTTTTTTAAAGTGGCTTGTAAAACAGCAAACAGCCATAGCTTTTTGAGCTGTGATTTAATACAGGTCGTCAACGCACTTCTTTACAAGTACTACTTCCATTGTAGTAGGAAAGATACTTCAAACACTATTGCAGACATCTAGCTTACCAGTCTGCTGTATGTCGGCTGATCGCACACAAGCCTTTTATCAGGGGAGCAATGTTCAAAGGGTTGGACTCCAGAGATACTCAGAATAACAGAAAATACAAACAGCTGCTACCTCTAGTATTATTCAGATTTTATTTTCTTTTTATTGATTGTAATGTGCTACGGGGGGAGGGGGGGGGGATTTTAATATACTACATTCATGTAGCCTGTTTGTGTTCACATCCTTTCAAATTATCGTAATAATTACAAGTAAATATTAGCTATACTTGTCAACAGAGCTACATTTGTACAACTTACACTTTATTTTCGTGGAGATTCTTCACTGACACAAGTACAGTCTGTTATATACTGGGTAATATTTAAATATACTTCTATTTTTGGTTTTTCTCTTGCTTACTCTACATTCTGTTTGGGGTAACCATTTGAAAAGAGGAGGATGTGAAATGGGGTTTTCAAAGCATCACTAGACTTTAGTGCTTGGGCCATAACTGTCATTCATGGGGGTTTGGGAAGGAGAGGGGTTGTTTGGGAGTTTTGTTTTGTGTAAATCCACAGTTCTTTGTTTTGAGAAAGAATTGAGGAAAATATACTTTCTCACTTTAAATGTTGGCAAATATATATAAAATATAAATATAAATATATATATATATAAATATGCACACTCTCAGGTACATTTTGTTGTGTTTTAGAAAATCTGTGGTTTGAATATTAGCATTATAATTTTTTTTTCCACAACAGTGACTTTTTACAAATATATGCCATGGCATTTTCTTAGGTGCCTCCAATTTAAATTCCCCCAGCACCTACCAATTTGTGCTTCTTCCATTTTAGAGACATGTTAAAAAAAAATAACCATTCACCATTATTCTGGCCTCTTCTACTTTTTCTGTATCAAAGGGCTTCCATTCCATGAAGGAGAATGAGACCATACTCACAAGACCTTACTGGCTGATGAGAAACTTGAAGGTCAAAAACGAATTGGAAAAGTGGAAAAAAAGGGTCAATACATTCAAGTTTTACTTTCTGTGGGGCCCAGATCTATAATACCTTCAGCTGGGTTTTGTACAGATCACCACTTCGCAGGTAGAAAGTGACTGAAAAACACGTACGTTGCTTTTGGAACTTTAAAGTAGAGAACTCCTCACATAAAAACCTAATTGTTCTATAAACATATTTGCTTTTGGTTTTAATTATTTTAAATGTTGTGGTATTTTGTCTATAGTATATATTGTAAAATGTAACTATCCCACATTGTTATAAGCCCTTTATGATTAGGGTAATTATTTTTTTTCTGACTAGAGTTTTGATCAGTCCAAAATGGGGTATTACCTTTCTGCTGACCAGTTTTGGAGGGACATTGTCCTTTCTAAGAATGCGGAGACATCAACTTTTAAAAAGTGGAAAGCCTTGCTTTCTGGTGGAATTGGAATAGAATCACTGCTTCGTGGTAATTAGGTCTCTAGTCTCCCTGGATCAGCAGTTGTTTTTTCGTGGTAATTAGGTCCGTCTCTAGTCTCCCTGGATCAGCAGTTGTTTAGACTTATTGCCCTCTTTAAAAAATCTGGTTTATTTTATTTTATTTTATTTTTAGCTGTCAACAGTGTGTTCTGTTAAATCTAACAAAATGTTTTTAAAATGTGTTTGATCTGTGTGACAACTATACTGTTCTGTTTATTTTTAAAATTCCTAAAGTCCAAAAATATTTATATGCAGAATTTTCTGTATTGAAAATATGAAAAGGCCACAAATTTGGTTAGTTACCACTGAGTTGTTCTAGTCTAAGCCTTTTTTGCTGCTTGTGTATCATTCTTTTTTCAATGTATATATAATTATGGACTGCAAAAAAAAAGGCATTTATATGTCTAGTAGAAGGAATAAGCTTATTTATATTATAGTGTTAACAAAGTCTGATGTATTCAAGTGACTTACGTTATACCGCATGCAAACACACAAGTGTACATTCCATCTAAGAAGGGATGCCATGCTATTTGTTTTGAAGGTGTAATTAAAGCTGTTCTCTTTTCAGTAGAGCATATGCCAGCAAGACCAGGAGGTGGGAATTGTTTCTTAAGTCAATTTTTTTGCTTGTTGCTGAGAACCGGAAAACGTTCTGGAAAACTAGAGCATTTTCAGAACTGTGGGCTTTTTCTAAAGACCAGGAGGTGGGAATTGTTTCTGAAGTCAATTTTTTTAAATGCAGATTGTTGCTGAAAACCGGAAAACGTTCTGGAAAAGTAGAGCATTTTCAGAACTGTGGGCTTTTTCTAAGAAAGAGCAGCAAAGGGGCATAAATGCTCTTTCACCCAAAGATATTTTGCTGGAAAAGATAACAGCAGCAGTAACGACACCCCACCTGACTGAAACGCAGTGCAGTGCTAGTTGTGCCAAGCGAACTCTGGAGTGTAACACAACTGACCACTGGTTACAACCTCGCATTGATTTGCTCTGGTTTTACTATATTTGGAGATTCAAAAGAGAAATTCTGCCTTGCTCCGATTCTGTGAAATACAGATACATTTTAATAACGTGGCATCCCCCTACTGAAACTTTACACCAGCCATGTATGAACGTACAGTATCTAAATACTGTGTTGCAGTTGTGTTACGTGTATTAAGTGTGAATAACATGTAGCACAGTTTCTTTTCACAGAACCTTAAATTTCCGTATCTTTTAAAAATGTTTGCTTTTCAGTATTTTGTATAGTAAATATAGATGGTTTTGACTAAATGCTTTATTTATTTAACAGCAAAAACTGTGCCAAGAGAACCCCCTGTTAATTAAAGTTTTACTAGTTCAGAAAGTATATTTCCTTCTTCTTGTTGTGGATTTCAGGGGCTCATTGCAATTGCTGTCAGAGCTTGCAGATCCCACTGATGAAAGAGCTTCCATTAACAGTTTTGGGAACAGGATCAGGCCATAAGGTATGGACTGGATGTGCTTTGGTTTTATATTTAAACTATCAAGTTTCAAAATTAATTATTTTTGTCCCCTACTATTAGACCCGTGTTGAGTAACCAATTTTTCAGCTTGTTATTCATTCTGAAAACTTGTTTCAAGTTGCTCAAAACTGTGGCTGAATCAACATTTAAAATAGATTAGTTTCTGGTTAAACAAAACACTTAATTTCCAAGCAAAAAAAAAGAAATAATCAGAGTTGGGTATATTATTACTATTTAAAAGTAAAATGGAGTGGCATGAAGTCATTTAGAATGAAAACTCCAGCCTTTTCAATTACATTTTCTGTTTTCACACAAAGCAATTCAGCAAAACTAAGCTGATCAGCAAATTTGCACCATTTGCTGAAAATATTTCAACTGAAAAATTTTGCTCAGCTCTACCGTCTGGAGTTTTTGGGAAGCCAGGATTGCTAAGCCCTTCTCACAGCTTCATGACCGCCTAACGCAAAGTAAACTAAGCTAAAGATAGCAAAGTAAAATCTCTCTCCCAATGAAATCTCTGGCGAGACTGCCAGATTCCCACTGGCTTCAGGGTGCCTATAATTTCATTCCAGGAATGTGGGTTTGAAGTCTACATAATAGCGCAGACAGTGATTTCAGTATTTATTTTTTATGCATCTTAGTGCTGGTGGTTTTGTAGTCGCCAACATCATTAAATGGAAGTTTTACTGTAAGAGATCAAGCTGGTAAATTCAGATTAGCTGCAAATACTGTGCTTTATACTCGTGTCATTGTAGGACCTCAAGGCGCTTCCAAATGTCTTTGAAACATCCCTCCCCACGTCGTTTAGTCTCTGTTAGAAATTAAAGACGCGGTTCTGCCCTTGGAGGCCGAAGCGCAGGTTCTCCTGGCGGTTTGACAGACCCGACCCTTAAGGCCACACCAAACTAAAAAACCACGTACGTGACCTCTGTAACTGCCTTCCTACTCCAGTCATCCTGAGCACAGAACAGCAAAGTCTGGCTGGAGAAGGACCTTAAAGGTGTCTGTTTGTGTGCGTGTACATATACATATGTATGTGTATGTGTCCTCTGGCAGAAGTTAGAGAATGGCACAGGACGGATTCCGACAGCGGTGATCTTTTATAGAGGGATAAATACTGTGTTTGCTCAGCAGTCTGCAAGTTGCCACATAAATATACGGATATGATGAATGCTTACTGTTCCCCATATGTCATTGTGTGCCTCAATTACTGAATGGCAGATTTCATTTGTATTCCAATTAACAGGGAAGTTAGGCCCCTTGGGGCCTAAGTTATACTTGAGAAAAATTCATCGTGCTAGAAAATTTGCAAAAACATTCACCATAATTTTTGCCTGGAGTATAGGCAAGAATGTTCATGTTTGGAAATGTGTCAGCTAATCAAGTCTCACCTTTAATTACCTTGATGCAATTCATCAAGATCTGAAAATACTTTTTCAAACATGACTTATTCATGGTTTTGCTGGGAACCGACTCATATTCAGCATCCTGTTAGTTGTCAGACTTCTTTTTTTTTTTTTTTTTTTAAATGTACCAAGCAGAAACATGTTTGAAAATCCATGAAATAAAAATTGAACTTAATGTGTTTTCTAAATAGCTTCTGGAAGAAAATTTCTTTTCTTTTCTAATGCACTTAGCAGCAAAACCAGCCTCAATTTATCACATAATGATTTATTTTCTTTGCATATTTGACAGCTGTTCAGTTGATTTGACTTGGAAGGAGCTGTTTTGGGATTTTTTTGGCTTGTGTACATTTAAAATGTGCTCAAAATGGGCTAAAAGAAACAGACACAGAAAAGCAAATAACTTTGTATTGAAATTATTCAGTAGCCATTGAACTGCATCTTATTTGAAGTTTGGATTATAGCTATTAAATAATGAGGCTTTCAATGATGCTTTAATTTACTGTAATATTTCTCTATAATTCTAGATAATTCGACCCTACTGAGCTAAAATGATAGAAATCATATGCATGAGGTCTTCTAATTTCTTCTTTTTTTTTGTTTTTTGAATAGCAGAATTTAAGAACTATTCAGATGGATTACTGTGAGGGTTAGAGCCGTGAAGAAAGACTGGCAAGGGAAGGATGGAAAGATTTGAGAAGTGTAGGGGTAGCACAGAACTGTCCAACAGAAGGGCGGCAGGAGACAGACCAGAGGTAGGAAAATACTGTATGGAGAAGCTGTATTCATATTGCATTTTTGAATCTCTTATGGTACTTCTATTGCTCATAAAAAAGCAACAGTAGTTCATAGAATGCTTTTCACTGAGAAAGCTTGAGAGACTTTCTAGAAGAGGTCAATCTCCAGTGTGCAGTGGGAGGCGCGAGGAAGGAGAGCTGTAGATAATCACGGGCTGTGACAAATAAGAAATGAAACCCTGGTTTCCTGGGTCCCTGTCCAAGCTGAAGGAAATTTTTCAGAAGCAGAGGCGTTTCTACAGAAGTTTTCAATATTCTCTAGAGCATGTTTTGAATAGTAGCATCAGTTCTTTTTCTGTTAGATTACAAGCACGCATAAGTCGGTCAAATGTTGCCCAAACATTCAGTATCTATTGTGATTTTTCTGAAGACTAAGCACTAACTATGCCTTCGAAATCTACTGACACTAAGTATAGTCTTTAAATCACAAGAAATGGCAGACTAGACCTATTGGTTGTCTCATCAGCCTAGTTTTTCAGGGTCTGAGAGTAGGAAGTTCCAGAAGTTTCATACGAACGTTGGAGACATAATGCTAAGGGCCTTCGTAAGTGTGGCAATGGGAAAACATTAACAGTATTAGGCATACTGGTAATTATGTGCACTGTGCTTTCTGGGTTTTACGACATGCTTACGCAGTGTGGTTTGTGTCTTCCTTCGAGTGCCTGTCCATAGAGACAAAGCAGCTTGTAATTGCTACCAGCCGAGAGATGTATTCTTTTGGTGAGCCTGGACTTTGTGGATGAAGATCCGGGGTTCAGATCCTTCTGGTGCTGAGTGCTTATTCTTGCACGTAATCCTTCCCACTCTCTTCTAGTCACAAAGTATAGCACATTGGGGCTTTGTGAATTTTCTAATAAAACACCTACAAACTGGGCCAAATTTGTCTTTAGCTTCACAAGTGGAAGCCAGAAGAGCTCCCCATGCATGTCTTGGAATTTGGACCTTCAAATGCAGTTTGCTATATGAGTCATCATTTTTTCTTGTACTAATTTCAGATATTTGATAAGCTCTTTTTATGGTTTACAAGTTTAAAAAGACAAATAAAACTTTGTAGATTAAAACGTTGGTTTGGAGGTTGTATTTTGTCTGTTCTCACTGGAGTTCTGTGAATGGTCGTTTTCTGTGTGCTTTAGCTTAAACCTACAAAGTGACTTTGGAGTGGGTGTTTATAGTTCTTCGCTTGCTTGTTCACAGGATAAGACTGTTGATAGATGAATAAAGTGCCACTTGAGGTTGTTAACAACCAGGACTGGTAACGCTAGTTCAACTAAGATAAACAGTGAAATGCTATGGCAATTAGCATTAAGGTCTCACTTGGCCAGTGTTGATTTTTAAAGTCGCAGATACAGTGCTTTATAGATACCCGTGGCCGTGGGGTCTGGAGATATTTATTCCACCCCTGCTCTGAGTGCTGTATGGACTTCTTTGCAGTGCCCAGGGCATCCTTGTATACCCAACGTGCTGTTAGGAAGCAGGAATATGAAAATTGTAATGTTTCAGTCCAAAGCAATTAACCCTCTCACCCTGCAAGGAGTGGAGGGGAGGAAAAGCTCAATTAAAGAACCTTGGAGTTTCCAGTAAGTGCAAGAGTATGAAGGGAAGAAAAAAGCAGCACTGTGGGCCTCACATTCCTCCTGTCTCTTTACAGCCTTCTCAGGGAATATTTTTTACTTTTGATGTCTATAATCACAACTTCTTGCCGTTTGAGTATGCCATCTGTTAAGGCTGTAGCCCTCAATGGCTCTGCACATGTGACTTCCATGGGTTTCAATGGAAACTTTGTGCAGCTTCACTGGATCGGCAGATGTAAACAGAGCTACCTCCATTTACACTCGCTCGGAATCGGGGCCCTGGGGCACCCGTGGCTTGCACTGATCAGGGACAGGTTTTTATAAGAATTTTCCTGGTCTAATAAATGGATGCTAAAATCAATTAATTTAAAGATTACAATCTTGACAGCTTTTAGCTAGTGACTATCAATTAAAGGAGTAAGTCATAGTGATATCAGGAGCGGGGCGAGATTTTCATAACTTACTCTGCTAAAATCATCACCCCTGCAACCCCTTGCCTTATAATTGAATCACAATTTCAGCATTCACAGGATACTATGTGTCTGCTGATTTTTTTAAGAACAGTTGATGGAGTTTATTTTACTTAGAGCCTTTGTTCATATAGATATTGCTTTTATTGCCCACAAATGCAAAGGGAATCCTCTGAAGAGCAGACCTCACCATGAGCGTCCTGTGTGCCCTGTTCCGCCCCTCCCCAAGGATGTGCAGGATGGAGTCACTCCACAGAAATGGTCCGAGTTACCTTCACTACGTCTGTAACCTCAACAGAGAAAATTAAGGAGCTGAAGTGATTCTGAGGCAAGTAACTGTTCCTTTTCCTCAAGAGGGGACATCAATGTCTCATGCTGCCTAATCGCCCCCCTCAATGCCGGTGCGCTGGGTTTCTGCAGATGCTTTGGGAAACAGGACAAGCAGATGTTCCTACTCAGGAAGGCCTTAGATTCCAAAATGCTCTTCCATCGCTTTAGTCAGTGATAGGAAACGTTTGGAAAGATGTCACCATGAAAAGAACTTGAACAAGACAATTTTTTGCTGTTGACTCTCTGCTGTGCCCTTTCATGGGTTTAAAATCCACTTATCTGAAAGTGTGCAGTTACATTTTGTCCTTTTTCATCATTTAAATGCATCTTCTTGATCTGAAGAAATAAAAGCAATTTAAAAAATTAGAGATTTTGTTTTCATATGTGCTGCCAAGTCTGATACTGCAAAGTAACTGCTGAATTGGCACAAGCAGTTTGAGAGAGCCAGCAGATTTAGGAAGGGAGAAGATAAACCTTATTATGTTTCTTTGCCAAAGGAGAAAAGAAACGATATTGACTTAAATGTGGGAAATTTAAAAGGGGCCATATGTTCTCACTTTGTGCTTTGTTTCTAATAGATAGACAGAAATCTTTGAAGTGTGGATTGGCACAGTAGGGTGCATGCTTCTGTAGAGAAAAGATGCTAAATGGGGAGGATGTGAGGGGGCACATGAAACTCTATTAGCCATGCAACAGCAAAGAGAGAAAGGCAAATCCAATGATAATGTACATCTGTTTCAGGGAATTTATAAGCTTTGAACATTTTTTATGTGCAGATAAGTGGATCCTTTTCTTACCATAACTTAGAACTTCAAAGCAGATTGTGTGGATAATGCAAATTGCTGAAATATGAGATTTTCCTACAAAGAGGTTTCCAAAAAAGAAAAAAAAAAAGAATTAAGGCTAATTGATGCCACAGTCTTTTATGTACAGTGTAAAAACTCTACAAAAATTGATTTTTATGAACTAAGAAATTGATGAAAAAATATTGAAGTCTGCTGTTTGCATTCAGGGACTGTAGTCTGAAACTGAGGTTCTGTGAATTAAACATTTGTCTCCGATATCACCACAGCAATATTGTAACATAAATTAAGATATGTAGCTGAGCTGTAATTGTATCAAAGTCTGCCATGTCGTAGGAATGTAAAACTCATGAGTGTGGCATGATATGCAGCACCTGACGTTAACATCACTGTCAAGGTAGTGAAGCAGGAATTTCTAGCATATGAGAAAAAATGATTACAAGAGACAAAAACTAATGGGGGGGGAGGTGGGAGGTGGAGGATACTGATACGGCAAATCTTGGGAGTTGATGAATGTGTAAATTCTTAACTGCTAACAAAAAATAGTTGCTCTCTGAACTTGGGAGGGGTTGCGGCTGGGCTTGGGAATGACGGCTGCGTTCCAGCTGGGAGATGTGAATAACCAGTTGAAAATGGAAGGCTTGTGATATCATATGCAAGAAATGACATAAGCGAAGGTATCCTGAAGACTCTCATCTATTGCAGAGGTGCATTCCTTTCCTCCCTCCGGCCTCAAGACTACAGAGCCGGCTTTGTATTTCTCCCTGGGCTGGGGCTGCTGGGCACGGGGGTGCTAAGGCTCATCTTGATGCTAAACACGTAGGCAACCAGAAGTGGGAGCTCCCGGCCCGTTGCTGAGTCTCTCCTCAACCCTTGGCTTCAACATCCAGCTTGGCATCTTCCCTAGATGTTTCCTTCCTGCACTTCGCTCACCCCGACCTCAGTCCTGGATTTATTTTTTTCTTCAATCTTTGCACAATTCTTGGTCGCTGTCTCTCATGGCGGGGAGCACCTTCTGAGGAAAGCGCCAGGCCTCCATACTTTTGCAATGGGTTTTCACGTCCAGGGCTTGTTTCTTCTGCCCCAAACCCGCCTCAGCTGAGGTGGGAAGTGGCAGTTGCTGCCACCACAGCCCCAGAGCCGCACCAGCTCAGCCCCATCACCTCATTGTGGTGGTGACTCAGTGTGCCTCCCCCTCACCCTGACAGGTATGGCCGTTGCTGCCACCACAGCCCCAGGGCCTCACCAGCTCAGCCCCATCACCTCACCGGTGGTGGTGACTTGATGTGCCTCCCCCTCACCCTGACAGGTATGGCCACCCTCAAAACGGTGGATTTTTTAAATTCTTTTCTTTTTCCTAGCATTTTTTCTTGGGAGGGCAGCCTTGTGATGGGATGAGTGCTGTGAGGCTGAGGGATCCATCCCCCCCTGTGATGGTGTCTAACCCCAATTAAATGAAACACCTGTGAGGTAATGAAGTAATTTACCTCATGATTTGGGCCAAAACTTACTGGTTTAGGGCAGTTGGGTGCAGTCATCCTAGAAATGGTGGATTTTGAAACTTTTTTTCCCAAATTTTTGTTTTTGGGGGGCAGCCTTGCAACGGGGTGAGCATTGTGAGGCCGAGGGATCCACCCCTGTGTGGTGGCGTCTTCCCAACCACAAGGAAATGAATCTCCTATGAGGTAGGGAAACAATTTACCTCATGATTTGGGCCAAAGCTTGCTGGTGTAGGCAATCAGCGAGGGCCCCGCCCTTTTGATGCCATTACCAGGTGCTTTTTTGGGTTAATTAATCAGGCAAGAGGCTGGTGTGCCTCCCCCTCACCCTGACAGGTATGGCCACCCTCAAAACGGTGGATTTTTTAAATTCTTTTCTTTTTCCTAGCATTTTTTCTTGGGAGGGCAGCCTTGTGATGGGATGAGTGCTGTGAGGCTGAGGGATCCATCCCCCCCGCCCTGTGTGGTGGTGTCTAACCCCAATTAAATGAAACTCCTGTGAGGTAATGAAGTAATTTACCTCATGATTTGGGCCAAAACTTACTGGTTTAGGGCAGTTGGGTGCAGTCATCCTAGAAATGGTGGATTTTGAAACTTTTTTTCCCAAATTTTTGTTTTTGGGGGGACTGGGTGCAGTCGTCCTTTTTTTCCCAAATTTTTGTTTTTGGGGGGCAGCCTTGCAACGGGGTGAGCATTGTGAGGCCGAGGGATCCACCCCTGTGTGGTGGCGTCTTCCCAACCACAAGGAAATGAATCTCCTATGAGGTAGGGAAACAATTTACCTCATGATTTGGGCCAAAGCTTGCTGGTGTAGGCAATCAGCGAGGGCCCCGCCCTTTTGATGCCATTACCAGGTGCTTTTTTGGGTTAATTAATCAGGCAAGAGGCTGGCTTACAGCAGCAGTGGCACCTCCCGGGGGCCATGGAGGGCCTCTCCCAGCACCATGCCGTCTCTCCAGGCCTGCAGCTCCTCGGTAAGCCAAGGCTGCTCCGGCAGAGGGTTAAACTTGAGGCAATCTTGTCTCGTCTATTTACAAGCGTACCCCAACAGCAGGGAAAGGGCAGTACGCAGCGATGTTGAAAAGAACAGCTGTATGCCATCAGACTAAAGATAGAAACATGAAGCATGCGGGCTAATTAAGTTCCCAAGTGGCAGCGTACAGAGTGTACAGACCAAACAGAACAGTGCCTTCTGCTTGTTTTGATCAACTCTGTTTCTATCACTTTGATGAAAATAACCGCTTGATTTGTCGCTCCCCGTGGCTGCCAGGGGATCCCTCAGACGGTCTCGCTCTGCGGGTGCCGCCCTCATGGCGAGCAGCGCGGCCCGGACACAGGGCCATTTCGCAGCCAGGGACTGACTGCAGCCTCTCTTGTCTGTGAGCGGGGCCG